ATAATTGATATTACAATCCCTGTGAAATTCAGAAAACTTCTTTTTTCTAAATCTTCTCACCAGTTACGATCCCTGCTAAATTAAAGGAGCAAACATAGTGTCCATATCGAGCAGTTCGCGAAAACGTGGCTGACGGATGCCTGCTGTTAGACCTACCCATCGTGATGCCTCCTGTATAAATTTCTACCGCAGTTACAAGTTAATACGACGCTTTCAAATCATCGGCGAACGTGCTCCATCTCTTAAATTAAATACGCGAAATAATTTTCTCGTCCGTTTTGCGCAACGCTATTGAACAGAATCGTGTGTCCTTTGATATGAAAAAGTGAAGTGAACCGGCACGGTATACCAATAGAATGAGTTTCAAGCACTGTAGTTAAGACCGTTTTCGTTGCAGATAAACTTCCGTTTTATTGCCCGGCGACGATTCAACTGTACCGTAATTTTCTTCTTGTTTCTAACGGGTTACTGGAGCAGCCTCGCTTGTTTCGCCAAGTATCGACCTCTTTCAATTAGCAATGAGGAAGTTGGCGTAATCAGATGTTGTCGTGTAATAAACGTCAGCCTGAGAACCTGGCTGTTACATTGCGCGTGATTATCGACACGTTTCTTCAAATCCTATACCTTTCCTACGATGCCACTGGGACACCACCGGTGGTCTAACTCTAAGAACGCTCGCGAAACGTACCATGCTACATGTATCCACACCTATGACGACCTATGATCCAACTCTGATCATCCAACGCTGCTAACGAAAATGTAAGCTTAGAGATTGAAGAAAAGAATTATGATAATTATCGTGCGCGTGTTTCTACGTACATCTGTCGTGTACAAATACAATAGCGAAGGACAGAATTAGCAAGCCTATTTGTCTTTGATTTGAAAATCCTGCACGTGTTGTGACGCGTTGACCAGATGGATTCTTGCCTTGCCTCGGCTCCTTTCGATTAGAGAGAATTCGGAGATTGTTGGTCAATAGCCGATTCATCGACGAGGAATAGCTATCGCCGAGGAAGGTCGTAGAGAAGGTTCAAAGACACGAGTGTCATCCGTTTATATATACGCTTATAGACAAAAACTAGCACCGCGATCCGCTTTGAATTTGAATATCGTTAAGTCGCGAGGTCACATCGTGGATGTTAACGAAATTTTTAATCGCAGCAGGCCCCTGGCGATACGACCGCACGGACTCGGGGATCCTCCTGACCTTGAACTTATCAAAGTCAACCGGCTTCGCTTGGGTTTTATGCAAATACGCGTTTATAGAACCGGGCCGGGCTCTGTCGCAATCTTTGCCCGAAAATACGTTCCCCGAGGATCCCGAAGATCGTTTGCCAGTAACTCCATGCTGTCTGTTCTTTTTCCTCCTCGATCAGCCCAATGTTAGATGGATATTCGGAGAAACAGTTTTAGACTAACATTGGGAAGAGAATTTTTTAGGACCTCGCGTTTCTTTGTTCCCCGACGAATGTCTTCGCTACAGAAACAGGTTCGATCGTGGGACACTGGTCGAATGAGGTACCTTTCGATGTTCCAGACAGATTCCATCGTCGTGAGACTATAGCTGACTTGATCGTAATTGGTCTGATCGTCGCTGATCCGATTACGGATGACCTGATCATCGCGCTGATCCGTTTGTAGCTGACCAGATCACGCTTGATTCGATCACAGCTGACCGAATCACGTTTGACTCGATTCTAGGTGATCCGATCATCGCTAATTTTCTTTGCTGTTTTCACCCGATCAGAGCTGGTCTGATCGTCGCTGCTTTAATTATTCTCAGTCTCACGATTATCGTCGATTTCGCTGTCGTTGATCTAATGATTCTAGGTGATCCGATCATCGCTAATTTTCTTTGCTGTTTTCACCCGATCGTCGCTGCTTTAATTATTCTCAGTCTCACGATTATCGTCGATTTCGCTGTCGTTGATCTATTCTTCGCTGGTTTGGTCATAGTTCACGCGACAATGACTCGGTATTTGCTAATTTTCTTTGTTCCAATAGCTTTGGGCGAAATAAAAAATAAATTTACATGGAAAATGACGTCAGCAACAACGAAATTGCGTCATGGCCCGAAAACGTGTTGCTTCATTGCGAAAGACCGTGGTATTTGCTGGATTTGGCGATCGGACAAGATCTCGCGACATCTCAGTGCTTCCCTGATAATCAGACATGTCCTCTGCGAGAGCAGCGAGACACGCAGCGTGCACCTGTCTACGAGGTGGCTAGGTGGACCATCCACGCGATGGCGCATCGAGGAAACGTATTTTTAGATAGTCGGTCAATGTCTAACTCGAATTTTCCAAGACTACCACCGCTGCTCGATCCGCGAGTTTCGCTGCTTGCACAGGTGGGTGGACAGGTAACGAGGATATAAATTCCATGGTACTTCAGGACAACCAGCCATGGAGAAAGATCGTCTTTGTTCTATATCCATCCACCTTGAAGCATTCTTAGTTTCGAAAATATAGGAATAAAATTGCGCAAGAAGTCAGAGGCTTCGTGGAGATGCGAGTTGAATCCGAAATAGGAGGAGGTGTCGTCTCGTGACGTTTCGCTTCCTCGGAACATGTCACCTTTTCCTGTTTTTCTGCACCAGAAACGTATTACGATTCCTCTTCATCGTGCCAGTTCGATTTCTCGTGAATCCACTTGCGTTCTCTCGTTGCCATTACGCACGCTCCAAACGGCTATTCCTCCGGCGAGTAATTACGTTGCTGGAAGAAAAACCATAACTATATAAACTGCAAATATGCGAGCGAGGAAAGTGGACGAAATCGGTGTGTTTTTGCTTCCTATGTACGAAACGACTGAAAAATGTTTCGGAAATTAAGCGTGGCACACCGATCACTGTTCCAGATTCCGAGCAATAGGTGCATAGGAAGAAAGGTTCGAGAAATTTCGAGGAACCAGGTTGAAAGACTTAACATATCTGTCTGTCCGAAGTGAACCTAACGAGATTTGGGAATTTTGTTGGTAAACCAGCAAGTTGCAGTGTCATTTCTCAAAGTCCACACACGAAATTGATCGTGCTAATTTGCAAACACGTTTAGCCTAGCCTGATTGCGATAACAAGCGTGACGTAACGTTAATAATATATTACTAATAGTAATGCATTAATGATATATCCGATTGAGCATCGAGACAGATTCCAGTAAACTCCCGTAATGTCGACATTTCAAGAAAACGAAACATTTCGGGCAGCTCGCTCGTGTATGTCGAAAGTTTCCGCAGGTTCCAACGGGACGAGAAGCGAATCGAATAATAAAACATCGAAGATCCAAAGTGGAGGACCTTGTCTCGGAACGGTAAAACGCAAATTTGTCAAACCGCCAAGATTCCCAATTCGAATTCTAACTCGGTGATGTTCACGGATAGAATTTACTCGGCGATCAATTTTTAATAGACACAGGCGGAAGATAAATGAACTATTTGTATTTTGTACAAGTTCAACAAAGATCGTATTTCAAGTCTTTAAACCAATCGCTTTTATTACGTATTCGCGGACCAATCCGTTGTTACTCGATGTCAGTCACGTCTGCTAAACGAATGAAACCTTCATTCGATATCTTGACCATTGATCAAACGTGTTATTCTGAACTTTCGTAAAGACGTGTTAATATCTGTAATTATTTCCTTGGATAATATCTCGATGTTTATGTCTCGTGGCACTGTAATTTGTTCAATAAATTCTATTTGTTGCATCATCAGAGTGCCATTTTTTGTTAGTTTGTCGTATAAATGTGACGCTTGGTTTGTACCTCACAATGTATTCATAGATCAATATGAAACGAGGTGTTGTCTGGATAATTACTTGTCAATGTATCGCAAGTTATTTTTCAATCTCGTTTCCCGGTTCTTCGTTTTCTCGCTCCTTAACCTTTGCTCACATGCCATTACCTCACTTAAGACTAATATACTAAACAAAATTATGGCATGCATTCTTAGCAAACCACTTCGCTGCATTCCTTCACACCTCGTAGAAGAGATTCGTCGTCTCTATGATAATTTTTCAAAATTATTCCTGCTTATGACGTAGTTAAACGAATTTTCCGAGTTGGATTTGTAACCGGGATTCCTCGTTTCCTCGTCCGTCTGTAACCATAAAACTGGTTAACAGGATAGAATATATAATACGATAAAATAATAACACGAGTATAATAGAGAGATACGAAAAATAGAAATACCCATGTGAGTCAGAAATGATCCGCGTCGGTGTCCATCCACTTAGATGGCGCGTGAACCAAAAACTAAGATGGCTCCTTGCCGCCATGTTCCACGAACATTGAACCTTATGATCCATCGTCGAAAAATCTCGTAGATCGAAAATACTCCAGGATTCTCGAATACGCCTCTGCAGCCTGCAGGAAGAAGAAAACGAAAAATGAAACAAGTCAGAATTTATCGATTCCTTTTAGAAATATTTTGATGCCGTTTTGGAAAGAATGTCAGCTTTGGCGTCACGTAATATAAACAGCTTGGTATAAGAAGCATAATTGGATATAAATACTATATTTAACAATTTTTTTCTAACCTAATCATTACAACTTACACCGTAATTTCACGACTATAACAGGCTAACGATAATTAACGCAATTTCTCAAAATTGTAAAATATAGCAGACCTAACCTAACCTCGTCTGAATTCTTTGCATTCCGCTTGTAGCTTAAGACACAACAAAACGCATATTATTTTCTGCAACGTTAAACGGCGAATTACTTATTTACTTCTAACCTTTTGTACTCGTAATTTCGCAGTCTCTAACTATATTCCAAGTCTTGGTATTCGTAAATATATTCTGGAAATATCTCGACTCTCTAATTACCCGCGACGGGTTGTAGATACCCTGAGCCGATTCCACGTCGTTTTCGAAAGACTACCAAGGTCACGATCGAGCAAAAACTAGAGGAGAAGTGGAAAGCAGATCGCGGAGATAATTTAGGACGTGATCGGGCGAAAAAACGAAGGCACGGGTGGAATAATCGGTAAGAAGGAGAGGAAAGCAGATAGATCGCGAAGGGCGACAAGAGGCGCGCGACGAACTTTGTCCGTGAAGGCGGCCGATCTCGCGACGAGAGCCGAAGGATCGCAAAAGGTAGAAGGGATGCGGTACCAATATGGCGGCTCGGTTAAAAGCAATCCACCGGTGTAACCGCTGTCAGTCCGCAACTTGGCACGGCGGCAGCGCGTTCGTTCGTACGAATATAATCGGTGTCGCATAAACGCGAGCGCAACTCCATCCCTTTCTTTTTCTCTTGTTTCTTCATCTTTTTATTATCCCTTCTCTCTTTCTCTCTCTCTCTCTCTCTCTCTCTCTCTCTCTCTCTCTCTCTTTCTCTCTTCTATTTAATCACCATCTTTCCTTTCAAGTCCGCTCGGTCTCGTTCTCGATCAGATTCGATTTATCCTAGTTTATCGCTGGGTAGATTTCGCAAGATCATCGAGAGGAAAGAACGACAGAGGACTTGGTGGAAAGTATCGCGTCTCTGTGACCGATCTATAGATCGTCGCGAATCGTCGACCCGTCGTGCCTCATCAACGGTCCTCGTTCGGCCAATCGAGCAGTTCGCGCGAGCAAAATTGGAGGAAAACCTGGCACTGGACGAGGTTCACGAACCGAACAGAAGATTCGAGGAATTTCCGAGCGCAGCAGTGTCACGAGGTAGAAGAGCAAGTGTGTGTTCGATTGTTCGGGAGAAGACGATTACGTGAGATAACCGCTGGTCCTGTCGTCGCTCGATCGTCCGGTAAGTGAGCTGAAAGTAACGCTACTGCCACGCACGCTTCCGATAGAAGCGCAACCACTCCGCACGGCTGTTTTTCCTTCTCACGTAACGAATTGACGCCATCGACCCGCGGAAACGATTTCGTGCACGCGCCTCTCTTTCGAATCGCTCACTGAAACGATAATTCACCGGTTCTTCGTTAATTTTCACGCCTCGCGGTCACCGTTGTACCACGACCATCTACAGCCAACGGGTTACGCTTCGTCCTCTCCTCATTTTTTCCGCTTTTTTCCCTCTTCGTTATTCCTACGCGAATTTCCACGCGAACGTTAGCGTTACGGATTGTGCGATTCACCGCTGGCCAACAGGGCAAAGAAACGAAAAAGAACCAGTTCTGCGTTACTGGGCCGCGGTGTGTTATCTCGCGATTCCTCGGTAGCGCGTGGTCGTTCGTAAACGAATAGCGATACGAGCACTATCTGCGCGATATCGGTACAAATATAATAGCCCGAAAAAGTAGACTCGTAGGTAAAGACGCCGCTTTATCTCTAAAGCGTGTACGCCACCGTGACACACCGCGTGTTTACCTCGAACGTATTCGTGCACGCGGTAGAAAATTGCCAGCGACGAATGCAACGCTGATAGTCCCTGCTAACAGTCGAATAACGGTAACCGATCACGTCGACGATCGAGCGGTAACATAACGTCGACGTAAACGCCTCCGCGTTTTCCTCTCTTCGTGACTTTCGTCTTTTCGGTCTTCCTCTCGCGCGTTACTTGCCCCGTGAATCACGAACCACGTGAGCAGTCCATTTGACTTCGATTCACGTTCTACTCGATCGCGTCGCGCTTATTTAAGGGGCATACAGTCTGTCTGTTAGGTGGGCTTCACCGACATCGAAACACTTTCAAACGATCAAAATTTCGTTTTCTAAACTTCGTACTGTGCTCATCTTCCTCGTCGTTCTATGAGACCAAATCGATTTCATTTTTGAGGAATTCTTGTCGGGCGCTGCGTTCTTGGATTTCGATCCTCGATCTTCGGATATACAAGGTTTGTCTTTGATGCTCATCGATCGGCGAATATCTGAAACGGTGATAAAAATATTAACATTTCTCCTCGATTTTAAACTCCATAATTTCGCTATACTTACGGGGCAAGTTTTAAAATGGTTTGCTGAATAACACGCCGGAGGTAGCGCTCTGTGTTTTGGTCGTACGATAAAACTTAACGGGAGATTAATTAAAAATAGTTTATTAATTGCATGCTTGTCACACAGTTGCTGCAACAATTTAACGTTGATTAGATACCGACTTAATTCGACTGGAAAGAGTTATTTTCCATTTTGCAAGACTCCCGCATACCGTTTCTTTGTTTCCTAATTGCCTCCATTCGAGTCCCGTAAAGAATTAATTCCTACATCGGCTGTTATTTCAATTTATAATCAATCTCGTTTTGAAACTCCTCGGTGCTTTCGAAATAAAAAGTAGGGGGAAAAGAAGATTACCAAAGTTGATTTCGATGTACGTAGATATTCCAACTTTTGCAAAACTGGACGTCGTCATTATCATATTCATTATCACGTTGAATCCCAATGATTCCCTCGGTCGAGCGATCCGATAACTTTAAAACGAAGGATCATCGCCTTTCGTATTCCTTTGATTCGATGCACGATTCGAAACGCATAAATTAACACATTAATTGTGGTTGATCGTTACACGGGAAGATCCGCAGCCGGAAGAAAGGAATCTTGGATCCGTCTAATTGCCGATTCGAACCTCGAATTGCAGTGTCCTTCGCGGTATCTGATGCCGTCAAGATCGGCAGACTTCCTGAAAAATTTGACGGAGACTCGAAAATGTCAGGGTTTCACAGACGTGATGATTTTAAATCATTTCATCGTTAAGATTGCAAAAACGTCTACCTAATTCCTTGTATCTTCTTCTCGTATTTTTCACTATCTCCTGCGAAGACTATCTTATCCGATATCGATGGAGAACAACAGGTGCCTGTAGAGTATAGAATGTTTATTCAGACTCTATTCCGATATTTGGACACCTGTTATTAGAAATATCATTCGAGCTATCTTCTTCCCTCTTGCTTCCTTTTGTTTTCCTCTTCATAAACAACATCCATCGAGAAATTCATGATTATCATGAATATTGATCATTTTTTGAACGCACGAGACTCGTGTTTCTCAGGTATCAGTGAATATGATGAATGACTGATGAAATGGGAAAAAATTACATGCCATGAATTTTATGCGCATACATTAAGCATGAAAAATACGGTAGAATGGAAAAATTTTTGAAATGCAATAAAAACAAGGTGTACATCCTCTCTGTTCGATTACACGAGTCCAAACATTTTTACGTTTGCATAATCGTCTTATGTTTCAATCAGATCGAATTATCGTATTCATGCAAATGTTACCATAATTATTTACATTTCATAAATTCTCTTCAAAGTAGAATGCGTTTCCGCTTAAGCTGCTTCGATTGATCTCGTTTTTTCCGTTAATTCTATGCTTTTACGACGCGCCACGTTATCGCCAGAATTCGATTCTACTATTTTTAAATTGCGTCGCTTTATCGAAATCATCGAAATGCTGAAAAATATAATGCCGCTTAATGTTTGATACAGCGATTCGTGAATGATAAAGTGACGAAAACGCGTATGCGTGTGTACACGTTGATAATAATGGAAGTGACATAGATTAATAACTTTGCATGATACGAAGATAGTCAACATCTTCGTTTAAACATTTATGTATTTCTTCGTACACCATTCTTTTTCTTCTCTACGAAGTCATAAATATCTTTCTCATTTTTTCCGCCATGGATATGGACATTGCCGTCTTTCACGGGTCTAATTATGTCTCTAAATCACTCTTGATTTCTTGTCTAATACTTAACGTTACCTTACGCGGTACGAATAACACTAAAGTGTTCGTGCTTTCCATGTTATTAACTGACATTGCGTACGTGGTCCAAGAATACATATGTGGGCTCCGGTGATAACGACCGGAAAAATCGAACGTATATACGCGTTACCAATGCAAATGGGTTAATAATGCATGTTTCCCCGACGAGTGGCATCGTGCGTGGAATGATTCCTCGGTCAAGTACCACCAAAGAACAACTTCAACGTCTGGCCTCCGTGTTTGGGAGCCTTGGGTACATACTATACGGAAGCTCTGGGTCCTCGTAGTTCGCAGTGAATTCGAAATGGTTGGTTAAGATCTAATGTACGTCTCACGCTGATCACAACAAACGCTGGTTCCTTACTGGAGCTTTATTCGAATTGCGGGATCCAATTAAGCTAAACAATGAGACGTTATTTAAAGATCAATTTTCGGTGTATTGCTTAGTGATAAAAGGCGTTGTAGGTATAGATAGCATTGAAAGAACGTAACTTATCTTCGAGTTGCTCGAGTCGTTTTAATTGAGACCAACGTTGGCGTACTAGAATCTTTAGCAATAAATTTTTGCGGTATTATAGACGCGTAGTGCGAACGCACGATTAACGCTTAATTATCGAAATCCATCAGAGATCGATGATTTTTCTGGAACTTTTGAATACGCGTTCGTTTATACGTACTCTGGTAATCACGCAGCAACTTATCTACTCAGTTATTACGTGAGAGGATGTTGCGACACCCAGCAAATTTTCTGAAAGAGACCGAAACGAGTTTTGCTTTCTCCCCATACTTTTTAAACTTCTCGCCAGATTGTTGATTATTTTTCTATCGCATGCAAAGCGGAAAAATGCAATCAGTATGTTAACTATTGGCTTTTTGACTCGGTGCTGACGAAATGCTTTTGAATCTATATTTGCTTCGAGCAAAGGAATTCCAGTCGAGTTTACTCCAATTTGATTCTTACCAGATTCCCTTTCGATCGGTTCATTTTTACGTTCAACGCTGTAACAAACGAGGACGTTAGTCGTATTATTCCACCTTACGTAGAGAAAAATATAGTTTTCACTTTGAACACATTGTTCGAAAACAAAATATACCACGTGGTTAAACGTGGTTCGTTCAAATTTCTCGCGCGACGCGATACGTCGTTTTAAATTTCGAATATCCGATCAATATCCTAACTATTCCGTGTTTGTTCGTGACCATCGAACGATGTCAGAACAGGACTTTAATACGTTCGTTATATAAGAGGATTCTCTCGGACTCCCTCTTCTTTCCTACCAACGTCCCGCCATGCGGTACCATTAAAGCGCCATGGCAGCTCTCGGCAAGTTGCAGCTTCATGCAGCTATGCACTTTCTCTGCACTTGTATTTGCTGCAGAGAATTTGATGGATATAGCAGTCTTCGAATTTGACGAAAAGAAACTCGATCGATGGTTCACGCACGACAATCTTCCTCGGTGAAATTCCAAATGCGGACAAGGAAGGCATCTCGTAGGAGCAAACGTGATTTCTTGTTCATCATTGCACACGTGGCCTACTGGATAGAATTTTGGGATAAAAGAAGCTCGAAACACATATTGTTTACCATCTTTCCTCTCCCTTCTTCTTTAATTCCTATTTTTAATTTCTCTTCTTTGAGGAGTGTTTCGACCTGTCTAGAAAATTCACAACTTTAAATAACGGCCACTCAAGGTAGCACGATATGTAATATGTGTGCACGATACAATTCGATTATTCGGCATAATAAACGTCGATGTTATCGTTATGGAAATAAGCATAAAATATAACATACGATTACGTAAAATAAATTTGACCTTCATTAATATTATCCTGTAGTAATTTTCAACAGCGACAACAGCCATTTATAATGACTTTCAAGAGCGAAAGTCTTCCTCGCTAAGGACATAATCAGATTTATGGGACGGGAGGAATCTTCCAGGTAAAGAATATTTTCTGGATTTAGAAAGTATGTAAAATGCAAATCGTTGGGTTGACGAATAAAACGAAATTCGCGAGAAATATCGAATGGGACGAATAATTCCTTGTTTCAGCGATTTCTGTAACGTAACATTGCTCGAAAGAATTACAATCTGTAA